TTTCCTTGTTTTATTTACCATCTTCTTTGCATATTTTCAACGGCTCGATTTTTACATAACACATTTTCACAGAATTATTACGATCTTTAAAAGGACAGGTAGTGATTTAATATCACAGGTTGTGTGATATTAAAAAAAGGAAAAATAATGATATAAATAATATAATTTTTCTGGCGACGATTAGCGTTACAAGGAGTAAAACACGCCTTGTTGGTGAAAGTTCCGAAGTAAATTTCTTTCTTGACCCGTAAGAGAGCGAGCGAGTGCATCGACGATATATGTGTCTCTTGCGTCAACGAGTCTATGTTTGAATTCAATTGGCGAGTATCGCCTTGCGATATATCGTCTTTGTAATAAAACACATAATCCTTTCCTTATTGCGTCGTCTTTCGTTGTTTTCAAATCGAATCGATATACCGAGAAAATTTTTTTGCCAAATATATATACGCACACACGCACACCAAATTTATCGATTTGACTTTCGCACTCGATAATTATAAAAAATTATTAAAATGGATATTAGTTAAATAAATTATGTTATTGAGGATATATTTGGTATTCGTGAGTTTGCATGATGCTGTTTCTCCAGGTACCTATTATTTCTTGTGGTATATTTTTGGATTCACGATCACGTAACGGGCTCGTACAAGCATAAAATCGACCGGCTTGGTATGCCTTTTCTCTTTTTATAGCAAAAATCTCTCTGTCTAAGCGTTTAATAAACGAGTATCTATAAAAAAGTAAAAAGGAAAAAACACAAAAAAATAATAATAATAATAATAATAATAATAAAAAAAGGAGAGAAGGAAAAAAAAAGAACGAGTCAGTTACGTCGATACTTAATTCGATACAATATCTTTTCCCGAAGAACTATAGATCCCCCCACGCTTATATTCAAATCGCACATCGACATTTAATGATAATGAGAGATTATATAAAAAGTTGACGTACGAGAGTTCCAATGGATTAGCACGAAAATTAATACAAAAAATGCTTAAGTGTGTATTATCTTTTGACAGAGGGGGGGGGGGAAAGAAGTAGTCTGATGAAATATTAGAAGCTTCGTTCGTTATGTCGCCAACGTGACGTCGAATCTGCGCAGCTTGCCGTTTTAACGCTAACGACTCTCGTTACAATCTGCTGATTGACCGACTCCGTCGACCTCGTATACATAGCTGTTACTAACATGGCTCGCTTTTGCTACCGGACCATGATAAACTTTGTAAAAAAGATTATTTTTATATATACACACACACACACACACACACACATATATATGCATGTAGGTGTATAACAAAAGTTAACTTCGCAAAATTTGGCGATCCTTTTGCGATCGTTATCGAATATCGTTTGAAACGAGTTCTTCCTTGGTTCTCGTCGAAAGCATCTTTTTTTGTTTTTTTTCATTTAGGGTAAGCTGAAAGAAGGAGAGAGAGAGAGAGAGAAAGAGAGAGACACTTTCGTGGTTTCTCGTAGGTGGGCCTGTATCTTGGCTGACGACTCCTACCATACACGGAAACCGGTTCGAAGTTGTTATTAGAGACATTTCAGTGACGTTCTTTCAATGTTCTATTCCAACAAGAAATCTGACATGATTTTCTTTTTCGCGACAAATATTCCTTCCCATTTTTAAATGCATAACTTTGTCCGACGATGCTGTCTGAAGGGGAACTGCAAAAAAAGAAAAAAAAAAAAAAGAAAAGAAAAAAACGAGAAAAAGAAAAAAGATTTTATTTTTCAAATATGCTATATATTATTCTGACATAAAATTAAGCAAAGAAAAGAGAAAAAATAGAGAGAAGAGACTTTTCTTGCCGATTGGAAACACTTAGCAAGTCTCACAGCTATATTTCTTGCGAGCGTAAATCGGCTCGCATCGACCTTTACTTGTCCTACGACGAATGACCTAGCAGTGAAATTACATGAGCTGGAAACCATCTCGTTTGAATTCATGTAAAGAAGAAACGATTGTTTGATTTTTCTTTAATTTTTTTTTTTTTTTTTTCCATCGACCAAAACAAAATTGTACGAACAAACAACAACAAAAAGCTTAGCTTAGATATAAATCATACAGCAGGATTTTAATATCCACTCGTTAAATTGTTATTCTGCCGAATTTATATATGTGCCGAACTATACGTTGCTAAATTTTATTACGTCACGCATTAAATCAAAATATTTATAATCGATATTACGAAACGATAAACGCAAATTTTGTTGTTCGAAAACTCAAGCTCGGGTGTATATTCATCTTTAGAAATGAATAAAAAAAAAATAGAGAGAGAGAGAGAGAGAAACGAAGAAAAAAAAAGCGATATGGCGCAATGAACGATGATCGAACGAGAATAGAAATAATTCGTATGCTCGAAACGTGACGTTGTTTGATAAAGAGGAAACGTTCTTGCAAGTTCATTGAAAGATAAATAAAGAGAATTAAAAAAAAGAAAAGAGAAAAAAAATATCTATATTAATTCTGAAAAATATTATTTCCGCCAAATGAGTAATCCCATGCCGCGTTAACTCGAGTTTGCGATTGGCGAATTATCTACGGGACTACGATAAAATCTATTACATAATATAAAATGGTCACGCGCTACGTTGGGACTCGACGACGTTGACCGCATCGGTCACGACGATTGACTTCGGACAACGTGTTTGTTCAATGTCGTTTGCATCTCCTGCGGAACGACACGACGACGACGACGACGACGTCGACGACGACGTGTGTGAATATAAAAAAAGAAAAAGAAAAGAAAACACATATCGATATGTTGTTCGGACAACGAGCGCGAGAGTATACGTGCCTATAGACGGGCATATGTACGTAATAATCCAAGGCGTATTTATGCGCTACGTCGTGCGTCTCTCTCTCTCTCTCTCTCTCTCTCTCTTTCTCTCTCTCCCTCTCTCTCTCTCTCTCTCTCTCCTATTCTACTCTCCGCGTCCATGTTTCCCTACCTCTCTTCTCCGTATCTAGCCAGAGTTGAACTATTCGTTTGACTCTTTTGCCTCACCTTTTCCTTTCCCACCCTAACAGCGTTTATGTTTATACATACATAATATATTGTACACAAGTTTGTCTCAGGTTACTCGAAAGAGATCTCAACCTTTTATCTCCTCCCCTCTCTTTCTTATCTCGAAGTTTTTCGTGATATCGTCGAAAACGTTCTATCTGTTAGTAAACACACTTAACGGTCTTTATTTTGTTTGCAAAAAGAAATCTAATATAGCGTATATATGTAATATGTTGATTAGTATAAATAAGTACTATAGAGGAACCTTTTGGTCGGCCTGTATAGATCTCTCTCTCCCCCCTCCTCACCCTTTCCCACCCTCTCCTCTCCTATTCTCCTCTTTCTCCTCCTCCTCCTCAACTCTTCTCGCGCTACTCATTCGTTTACGTGTACATATCCATATCTCATTCTCTCCCCTCTCCTCATACCTCACGCGATCACTTTACATATATATACACATATATACATAACTATCTTTCTCTGTTGTGTATACGTCTTTCTGCTAGTGTCCTCTCTCTCTCTCTCTCTCTCTCTACGTCGTACGATGTTATACGTGGCCTACGGCCAGGATGCGCGCGCATCCATTCCCAAACGTGTATCGCGCGACTCGCGACGCGTTGTTCGTTCACGAGACTCCATAACGTTTCTACCCAATGATACCTACTCTCGGCGAGGACATCACGAAATAAAAAAAAAAAGAAACAAAAGAAATAATTTTCCTTTACCAACGCTCTGAAAACTTTAGCATGCGGAAAAACATCCGAGATCGATGATGAGAGAAATAGAGAGAGAGAGAGAGAGAGAGAGATAGATAGGAGAAGGACAGAGAGAACGATACGAGTAGAATTTCGAGCAAATTTTCCGCGAGTCGACACGCTGGAATCGTTCGCCTCAATCGTGGCTCGTAGCACGTAGGCAGGACGGCGTATATAGACAACGGCCGAGTACATGTGTGTAGGTTTCGAATGTTCGAGAAGGTCAGTGGTTATCAACCGGTGGCGTCCCTGATCTAGATGCGTATCGCTCACGTAAGATGCGAAGTAAGGAAGAAACGTTGTTATCGAGGCTCGATATATAAGACATGACAAAAGATATATATATATATATATGTATATATATATATGTATATATATATATATATATATATATATCATCGTGAAGAAGGGATAAGAGGGAGAATAATAAGCGATCGTACGAAAATACGTTGTAAGAATGAGTCAGACGGATATGAGATGACAACAAGGATCGTCGACGTGGAGTCAACGACGAAGACACGTGGTAGTAACGGAGCGCGTCTCTTGCATCATGCCCGTATAATATTGTGGTTAACGCGGCGTTAGGAAGATAAGAAGGAGAATACAGGGAGGAGAAACGACCGACGGCTGAGAGCCACGTTGCCTACGTGACTACGCGTTCGTTTTGGTTCAGTGTGGTGGTGATGATGGCGACGGTGGTGGTAGTGGTGGTAGGGTAGTGGTGGTGGTGTCGTAGCAGCAGTAGTGGTAGTGGGATAAGTTATTCGGAGCGGGCGTCGGCGAGGTCTCCTGATTCGCCTTCCATAGTGGTGGGGGAAACGGCTGAGGGTCGCGTGGAGGGGGTAGCAGCGCGGGGTGTTAGTAAGCGATGCAGCCATCTTGTCGAACTCAGTCGGAAACCAACTGCCGAGCAGTGAGGGACGGTGAACGAGAAGACCAGATGTGTTAGCCGAAGGATTTTTAATGCGCTTCCGAGCCAGACTACCGCTACGTGCGAGAGGCTGTGTGATAGCGACAACGGAGGAACGACCATCGCGGGATTTTCGCGTGCGGAAAGCCCCGTTAAATCCGATTAAAAACCTTCAGAGGATCGGCGAAGGGGTGCAGCAGCAGCAGCAGCAGCAGCAACAGCAGGAGGAGGAGGAGGAGGAGGAGGAGAAGAAGAAGAAGAAGATAGAAGAGAGTTTTGGTTTAGTAGCAAGAGTTTTCGGCGGACGATTAACGGAGGGTTGAAAGCGTGTTTTAACCTTCTCGTCATCGACGTCGTAGCAAGAGAGTTAGAGGCTTGGCCGTTTGATCGTTTGGTTGACATAAAGAGAGAGAGAGAGAGAGAGAGAGAGAGAGAGAGAAAGCCAACGAGAGAAAGAAAGACAGAAAGAAAGAAATACGAGTATCACCGTCGAGTGAGACGACGAGGTTTTGTCGGAGAAAGATATAAAAGAGAAATATAGAGATCGAGTGCAGTGTCAAAGTCTGTGATAGTATTTATTCAAAGGATTTCGAATATACAACAGCGACGACGACGGCGTTTAACATCGGTCGACGGTAAAAGAAAAAAAAAATAAAAAAAAAAAAATAAATCGCGCGCGTCGAACAAGCGAAAGATTTAGATAGGCTTTATATATTTATTTATATCTGTGATATCTACACTGATATACATCGATCTGATTCGGACGGCGTATCCATCGGAGAAAGTGGAAAAGGATCATCGAATCGTAGACGTCGCGCGAACACGAGGAAGAGATTTTCACGATATACATATATATATATATATATATTACGTATATATATATATTATAAGAGGATCGTCGTAGGGAGAAAAAAGAGAGATTATATCAGTATCTTAGCAGATAGGCGTTTTTTGTATATACGACTGACTCTTTTTTACAATTATTAATACTGGTGCGAAATCGCCAAAAGAGGGAGAGAGAGAGAGAGAGAGAGGGAGAAGAGCAGAAGAAGAAGGAGAGATTAAGTGAGAAATCGAATTTTCCTAGCGCCGAACGAAAGTTTACGTACGTGAACGAAAATGGTGGAGAGACTAGTGGAAGAACGCAAGAGCAGCTTCCAAGCGAATGGCCGAGGTAAGAAAAACGAGAAGTTATGAGATTTACGAGTTAACCTCAATTTTCAATGCTTTTCTTTTGTTATTTTTTTATCCCTTTATTCTCTGTTGGGGCGGGTGGAGGAGGGGGAGAATGTCTACACGCGCGATCGATCGATCTCTCTCCTCCTCCCCTTTGGATGATGTAATGACCTGTCCGCCGGCGATGCTTTTTCAACGTACGACTTTTTTTCCTTTCTTTTTTTTTCCTTGCCTTCTTTTTTCGTCTCCCTCGAACGACGAAGTTGCATCATCGAAAAGTACGCGCCGGACAATTATCGCGTCGCGAGGAAAAGTGAGATGACTTAACGAATTTCGATAAGAGATGGGAAGAAAGAGAGCGAGAGGGAGAGGGGCCGAGGGAAAATACCGGCAAAAAGTAGAATCGAGGACGCGTGTTCGCGCGCGCGGGGAACTTTCTCGACGCCGGCACCGGTTAACCGCAGTCGGTGGTGACGGTGCTCCGTCCCCCCTCCCCCTTCGTCTATCGACTTATCGTTCTTCTCGAATTTTCTTCAAACGAGAACCCAACGATCGATGTTCTCCTTGTTGTGTTGTTCTTCTTCCCCACCTCCCTTTCTTTTTTCTTCTCTTTTTCCCCTTCTTTCGTCATACGAGAAATTGCTAAAGTGTATATATAACGATATTAGTTGCGAATATTTAGAAGGAGAAGAACAAAAAATCAATTTATCCCCGGACGACGACGACGACGACAACGACGACGACGAGAAAAGAGGATAGGTAGACGCGACACTTGTTCGCGACGCGTCTTCCTTTGTTTTTCTTTCTCTTTCTTTCTCTCTGTCTTTTCTCCCGCTCCCCTAGTACGTCGTTCGCATCTCGAATGTTTATGTTAAGCGATCGACGATATCTCGGCCTCGTAAATTATTATTTCGAGTTTATGCGCAATTCATCTACTAATTTTTTTCCGATGTTGTTTAAGAAACGTAAAGAAAGTAAGTAAAAAGGCATTGTGACGCTATATAACACTCGAAAGATCAATTTCACGAAGATATAATACACGTATTGCATTATCGCATGGTATCATATTCGCTTCTTCTAAAAGCGCATCGTCGTACGACGAACGGCGGTCTCGTTGTACGTACGTAATAATACGTCCTTGCGCGCTGTCTCTTTTGGCATGGTAGAGATTATTTTCGAGTAGCGAAGTGGGTTACTCGGTATGTTCGAATTCGACGACGGACGCGCGACGCAAATCCTGTGAAGGGCGTCGGTAGGGCAAACCCAAACAAAGAAGGAAAGGGAGAAAGGACCCCTCGCGCATGTTCCGCTATCGCTTTCCTCTTCCCTTCCCCCATCCCCCCTTTTCATGTTAAAGGGAAGCAACCATTTCGAAGGACGTTGAGAAAGAGGGAGAGAGAGAGAGAGAGAGAAGGGTTGCGCCGCTTTTATGCGTATATTATCGTTTCTCGACGAATCGTAAATCGCGTTTACTTCTCATCAATCCCACCTATCCAAATTTTACCCGTTTGCTTTTCCAAATATAAACGATGACGCGGCGACACTTTTTTTTTTGTTTTTAGCGTTGCGAATGAGATATCCTGACTAAAATGTCGACGAGGACAAATTCCATTTTTTTTTCTTTTTTTTTTTTTTTCCGTATCTACATCGCTCTCGCGCAATCGACTAGGATTTTCGATCTCTCTCCGTGCCAAAAATTCAATATGTGACTTTTTATTTTTTTATATACCAACGATACGAACAATGGAATTTCATTCTCGTCGTTATAAACGCGATAAAACTACGTAAGGACGACGAAATGAGTCACACACGTTTTATCGTGGAGAATATAACTCATGAACAAAGGAAAACTGGGAGAAAGGACGAATGGTAATCCGACGGTTGTTCGCCTTTGTTCAAAGATTTCATTAAGACGGAAGTCTTCGATTTTTCTCTCGTACTTCCGTGTAAATCTCGTCGAATGGTATTATTTTAATCAATCTTTAAAAAAAAAAAAAAAAAAGAAAAAAAAAATCCTTTTCGTTCGATCGACGGTCAAATTTCCAATTAGTTTTTTTGTCTTTTTCCTCTTCACAAGATTCTCGACGAAGAATTTCTCTACGTATAAAAATGAATGTAGGACCATCCCAGCGTGTAAATCTTCCTTCCATCCAGCTTATTATATTATCGTATTCGAACGTATAGCGATCGTTCTACCCGATTACGTAATTCCCTCTTCTCGTCGAGGGGGTTGGGGTGAACGTTAGGGCGATTTAAACCGAGGAAGCCGCGCGGCGTTATCCTGTGTCAGTGGTACTCAACTCGAAAACGTCGTACACTTTTCCTTTGTTTCCCCTCATCTTTTTCTTTTTTAACGAAACTACGATGATTCCCTGATCGCGTAGAGGTTCTCATTTCAATGTAAAAATGAAAATTAGATCTGGTGATTATAATTTGATCGTCGTTGTCGTATCGTTTCATACATAGGAGAACGGTAGTATCGGTCCTATTACGATATAGAATGCCAACGGCGGTATCGCACGAGCATATCTCACGAGAGAACCGAATAAGAGAGCGAGAGCAAGAGAGAGAGAGACAGAGAGAGAGAGAGAGAGAGAGAGAGAGAGAGAGAGAGAGAGAGAGAGAGAGAGAGAGAGAGAGAGAGAGAGAGGAGAGAGAGAGAGATGGCGGCGTTCCTTTCTGTGCCAGTCATTGAACTCTGGCTCGGTGTTCCGCCAGTGGAGCTCCTACGGTCGTTGCACGACACGACGACGGCGTCGCGACGACTGCTCGAGGAATGTACGAAAATACATTTTCCTATATTTCCTAAATGCAATAATAATAATGATTATTATTATTATTATTATTATTATTATTATTATTATTATTATTATTATAACAACAATAATAATAGTCGTGCTATTATCGACGCATTCTTTTCGCTTTTTTCTCTTTTTCTTTTTACCATCGACAATCAAGATGGTCAACATAGAAGAGTGTAGTTAGTTCCTTTCTCCTTTCCTAAAGTTGATCGATTCTCTCGACGGTATTCTCTCTCGTTAGTTATCTCTTGGAGGTTCTCAACTGTGTTCATGCATCCTCGCAGCTTTCTGTCTTACTGCGTATCCTCCCCCCTCGGTCTTTTACATAATTGGAAAGAGTAAAAAGTATTTATATTTGTCTCGTACGTATTAACTTCGTTACCCGACGAAAGATATTCTGAAAAAAGAAAAAGGAGGTTAAACCTTCCTTTTGTATTTTCCTAATAGTCAGTCAGAGTCGACGTTCTTTCTACGCATACGAATGAACGAATGATTGATTCTCAAGGTTAATGGATTTTATCGTGCTCGGACTTGCCGTAATCGCGGAGTATTATAACGGTTAAACTTACCTATTTTACGATATTTTAACGTACGAAATATATATTGTATAATTATTCGTACGTTCAACCGAAGTTAAAAAACGTTTCAACGTGGAACGCATAAATTGGTGATATCATTAATTATTATAATTAAGTATGCAACCGTAGGGAGAGGGGGACGATCGTAATCGTTACCAATCGGTAGTGGAGTAGAGCGGCGGAGTGCTTTTTTGGTCTAATTTAAGTTTCAAATGAATTCGGAGAAGAGGCCACGGTGCCTGCTGCTCGAGGCCTAAAACATCTATGCCTATAATTATGTTCGATTAAAATTGAGGTCGTTTCATGTATTGGATCGACCGATGTGTTGTATCGCTTAAAAAAAAAAAAAAAAAAAAAAAAAAAAAAAAAAAAAAAAAAAAATAAGAGTTACGCATATACCAAATGTTTCGTTATTTTTTTTTTTTTTTTTTTTTTTTTTTTTTTTTTTTTTTTTTTTTTTTTTTTTTTTTTTTTTTTTTTATATACATACGAACGAACGATCGATAGATCGAGTTTCGAGTAGAATAAAATTCTACAGAAATTTTGTCGGGCAATGAATTCTCTTTCTATTTCGAGAGGAATAGGGAGAGAGGGGGAATAGGGAGAAAACATTCGGGAAGTTTCAAAAGGGTAGGGAGACGAGAGAGAGAAAGAGGGGGAAATTATTTACATTTTCATTCTCCCCTCGTCACTCGTAGCTACTGCGTAACTGCTATTGGAAATTGTAGCATCCCTCGCGGACGAAACTTTTGATGGGTCTTCGTAACCGAGCTTTCCTCCCCCTTTTTTGGTACAAAGCTTACCTACCAGCCAACCACCTTTCTCTTTACTTTTTTTTTTTCCTTTTTTCCTTTTCTTTTTTTTCTTTTTTTTATTTTTTTTAATACTTTGATCGAGGGGAGACGAACGAGTATAGCGGTGCGTACCATAGTTACCGGCTACAAGGGTGGAGTATATTCGTTTCCTAGAACTCAACCCTCTGATGAATTTTCTCGTTATTTGTTTCCCCTCATTTTATCTCTTCCTCCCATCACCACCACCACTATTCTCTTCTGTTTATCCTAAGGTAAACGCATTCATAGATCTCTGTTGTGCATTTTTAAAAAATGAAAATTTCTTTTTTTTTTTTTTTTTTTTTTTTTTTAATCGGATGTTCTATGTATTTAAATCGATGAGTAATGAAAAATACTCGGGACGTTTATACGCATGTATATTATCTACGTGCATACACAAACGTACGTACGAGAAATGTCGCGATCTCGTGAGAGAGAGAAGAATTCCCGCAAGAATGATTGCGATAAGGAAATGCGAATGGACGAGTATCACGTGCGTGACTTCGGTAGATGCTGATAAAGGATTCTTCAACTGATATCTGTTCCGTAAATAAACGACGTGCGCAACCAAAACGTAATTTTTTTCTCTCTCGAGCTTCTAGAAAGATCTTTCTAGAATCGTGTATTCCGCTAGGTGGTAGCTCTAACACGATCTAAAACTATATAGCGGCCATTTGTCGTGCCGTTTAAAGACGACCTTTTCAAATCGGTGGTCATATAATATTATCTATCTCTTCTATGTTTGTGTTTATATATATATATATATATATATATATATATATATATATATATATATATACATATTATATTATGTCTGTACGTGTATGTAACAAGCGAATTCTCTCTTGATCGAAGGAAATACATACTAATTTTACTTTTTTTTTTTTTTTTTTTTTTTTTTTTTTTTTTGTTTCAGGCGATGGTAATTGTAGAGACGTCGCCTCGACTGGAGAATCTATGAGCGCGGTACAAGCGCGTCAAGAAGAGGCAAGACGCAAAAGACGCAGGAAGAAACGTTCTGGATCGTCTCTAGTGTCCTCTTGTTTCCAAGGTAAATATGAATAAGTTACAAAAAAAAAAAAAAAAAAAAAAAAAAAAAAAAAAAAAAAGGCAGGAAAAAGAAAACAAAGAGGTTAGAATGTCCCAAGGATTTTCGGAATCCTGACGGTTTGTGTTCGTTACAACCTTCCCGACAATTTCTAATGCGATCGAATAAGAAAATGAGAGATATCAGTTTTATTATATATATATTATTACGTTATAGAAACCAATTCTATTTTCGATGATATTAGCTTAGTATTTTTTTTCTTCTATTCTATGACCTTATCTAAGTTCGAAACGTTTCGAGAAACTCGTTCGAGCTCTACTCCGACGATCGATCGGTCGGTCGCTGCTAATCGATGTATACATACACCGCATGTCGTACGCGTACATACATAGGTCACTGTTCTTGTTTGTAAACAATTGAGAACGTTCGTCCATTAAGAAAAGAAAAAAAGAAGAGTGGGAGAGAGAACGAAGTGCCATGCGAACGTACAAATCATGAACAAGTTTTATAGGAATGTGTATACGTTCGAAATAAAATAAGTTATAAATATTATACTTGTGCAATACGAAGAAGAATCGATCTTAGAATCGTTACACGGAGTTCTCATTGGTCGTCGCTGTAAAAATTAATTATTATTTATTAAGAATATCGAGGCGCAGTCGATCGATTGAATCGAAAAGTATCGAAACTATTTTTTTCTCCCTCTCTCTATGTATATATACATTCTTTTTTGTTCCGGAAAAAAAATTCGATTAAAGAAAAATATCGTTTCGTCAAAAAATTCTTCCAAATTATTTAGTTTTTTTGCGACGTCCAAAGACTATAAAAGTTCTCCGATGAGAGAGAGAGAGAGAGAGAGAGAGAGAGAGAGAGAGAGAGAGAGAGAGAGAGAGAGAGAGAGAGAGAGAGAACACTGACCGAGTTTGCCACCTTGCTGCGCTAGGTCATGTTGCGTCATCTTCGATCGATCTGCGATCCCATAAGCTGGAACTTTCCATCGCGAGGAAGCATCTGTATAACCCTTTGGGTCAACTCAAATATAGAATAAAATCGTTAAGATAGAGAGAATGAGAGAGGAGGGAATGGGTGAGTGAGGGTGAGAAAAAGATATTAAAATAAGTGAAATAGTGATAGTGAAATTCGTTCATCTTTATAATAGTTTTCGATCTCGCATTTATCTCAAGGTCAGCGATATATATATATATATATGTATATATATTATACACGTATATATCTTTTAGGTCGTCTCCTCGATTGGATTTCATTCGTGGCGTGTCATTATTCCTTTTACGTTTTACCTCTCCGGTGGAGGAGGGGAGAGGATTAAAAATGTGTAACTGGTTTGTGAGCATCTTTACATAGGAAGACGTAAAACGTGAAAGCACATTATCGGCTTCTGGTTGCTAGGTGCCTACGGTGTTGCCGGATGCTCTCGCGTAATCTGCCGTGTTGTACCAAGAGGAGTGGCAGTCTTGAGAGAGAGAGAGAGAGAGAGAGAGAGAGAGAGAGAGAAAGAGAGAGAGAGAAACAACGGCGCAAGAGATGTCACGGGGGAAAGGGTTGATGGGGTGGGGATTCGGGAGGCGGAGTGGCAAGGTTTCGTCGGGTTTGGAGTAGCAGGGAGAAGGGAGGGTATGGTAAGGGCGGGGTAGAGAAGCGGAGAATGGCAGGCCAATAGCTCGTTAGAGAAAGAGAGACGAATGCTGTATACGCGTGTACGATCGGTGCGACGTTGCCGTGGCCGTTGTTCGCGAAGCTCTCGGCCACCCCTTCGACCTTGACATTGGCGGCTGTCCTACACGCAGGACACACACCGATCTTCCCCTCCCCCCTCCGCTTCCGCCCCTCACCGTACTATCAGTACGCGTGTTATATACCTTCTTGAGCTTAATGAATCGATGCCTAATAATTAATCGTATCTCGTACGATCCACCTTAGACGCGCGAGGATCACACATATACAGACACAGCTGCAATGCCGAAGTATATTATATACCCTTTTGGTTGGCTATAATCGATTTCAAAGGATACGTCGTTGGGGTTTTGATAATGGATATAACGTGAGACGTGGACGTGGATATTGCCACCAATCGTTGTTAAATGAGGCCACGTGAATTAAAGAAAAATTATATAGATTGGAGTTGGGATCTCTTGTTACGATAATGTCGGTAGGTTGAATAGATAACACAAGAACTTTTAGAAAAAGATTTTCTCGAAAATTTTAAATAGGAAATAATAGAGAGAGAGAGAGAGTGGGGGGAGAAGATTTTTGATCTTTTGTTTTGTTCTCTTTTTTTTCATACTCATTGATGATTTTATCATGTTCCAGATTTGTACAAATTGACGGGAGAGGTGCTTGGAGAAGGAGCCTATGCCTCGGTTCAATCGTGTACATCCCTGTACACGGATTTGGAATATGCCGTGAAGATCATCGATAAGATTCCTGGACATGCGCGTGCTAGAGTTTTCAAGGAAGTCGAGACATTCCATCATTGCCAGGGACATCCTAATATCATACAGTTGATTGAATTTTTCGAAGACGAGGAAAAGTTTTATCTCGTTTTTGAAAAAATCAATGGCGGTCAACTGTTGAACAGGATTCAAGAAAAGGTGCACTTTAGTGAGAGAGAAGCAAGTCAAATCGTCAGTGAGATCGCCAGTGCTTTAAATTTCCTTCATAAGAAGGGTAAGATTGAGATTTTTTGTATCTATCGGTTTTTTTTTTTTTTTTTTTTTTTTTTGATCCTATCGTTATGAAAAAATGTAAGGATTTGCTTATTTTGCTTTTTTTCTCTCTCTTTCCTGTTCAGGAATCGCACATAGGGATCTCAAGCCAGAAAACATCTTATGCGTATATCCGGACAAATTAACTCCTATCAAAGTATGCGATTTTGACTTGGGTTCCGGTATAAAATTCAACAATTCACTATCCAGTCCTGTAGCAACGCCACAATTATTGACGCCAGTTGGAAGCGCCGAATTCATGGCTCCGGAAGTAGTCGAGGCATTCATAGGCGAAACAAATTATTACGACAAACGTTGCGATCTTTGGAGTCTCGGCGTGATAATGTATATTTTGTTATGTGGCTATCCGCCTTTCTACGGGAACTGCGGCACCGATTGCGGTTGGGAGAGAGGAGAAAATTGTCAGGCTTGTCAGGAATTGCTATTTACCAGTATTCAAGAGGGAAGGTACGAATTTCCTGACAAAGAATGGAGAAATATATCCGAGGACGCGAAGGATTTAATTAGAGGCTTGCTAGTAAAGGAGGCTCATCAAAGGCTCAGTGCGGAATGCATTTTGAAACATCCGTGGATTAATCCTGGGCCAGCGTCGGTCGACAATAGCGAACAATCTCTTATAACTCCTCATATCATTAGGTAAAACTATTGTTTATCTTTCGCAATTGACATAGAAGCGCAACAAATTTGATTGATTTGGTTTTTGACTTTAACCGTGCGCGCTTTTCCTTTTTTCCATTTACAGAAGAAATAATTCTGCTCGAGAGCTCTCAGCGTTCGCTGAGTCGGCAATGGCTGTAAATCGCGTGGTACTTCAACACTTTTCCATTAACTTGGAGGAGCTGACGGAGAATAGGGAGCCAAGACTGTCCACGTCATCTACCGATGACGACAATCATCCTTACGGTCACATGTCCGACTCCAATAGTGAATTATCGGAGAATAGCAACAAGCACTGTGCGACCCATTCTTCCAGCGAATTTGATACTAGTTCGCGTCAAAAATCAGGCTCGGTTAATTCGAGCATCGATTTCAACGATTCGAAAATCATCGGGAAGAATCGAATAATAGGTAAAGATTCCTTTCAACTTTATGGTCTGTCGCCGCCAAGCGAGAGCAGACTTATGCAACGTCGTATCAAGGCACGCTCAAGTTTGATCGAATGTCAGAATAATAATTCTGTTATCGCATCCCCAAGTGGCTGAAATTTGACAATTTTAAAAGAGAGAGAAATTAAATCGATCTTCTTTTTAGAGTATAATTCGTCTTTGCTACTATTTCCCTTTCTGGAATCGCAAAGGTGTAATATACTTTTATCGAGCGGCTTAGAAAGAGTAAAGATTATTAGTCTATGTAAGCGATTCCTTCATTCGATTTAGAATGAAATTGGCTTGTATAAGAAGCAAAGAGAAAAAAAAGAAAAAGTGTGCGGTTAAAAAGAACAAAAAAAGAAATAATAATAATAATAATAATAACAATAAGAATAAGAATAATAATATTACAACGCTACAAAAAGGACGATGACGGCGGAAAGAAAAACAAAAAAAGAAAAAAAAGAACCTACGATAAAAATATTTCATAGTTCTGTATTGTATTAAGCGAGTATGATAAAAACAACAAACGTTTTCATTGCCTTGTTTCTATTAACCTTGTTTCTTTCTTTTTGTCCCGCGAATATGAAATTTTTCACCTATATTCCAAGCTGTCAACGTCTCTCTCTATGCGCGATATATGTGTCCGCATTGTAGTGATAGAGTAGTGTCGTATTTTTGTGTACGAGACGACAGTTATCACGATACAGTACTTTGGAAATAACATCTACGACGAAAGAAGTTCATCTTGTATCGGCATGGCATCATTCTCTATTCTCTCTCTCTGTCTCTCTCTCTCTCTTCCCTCTTTTTTCCTTTTCTTTTTTATATTTCCTGTACCTGACGCGCGACGATAACTGTCCTCTCTTACGAAGAATAGGATGTCTACGTTGGATGCACTCCAACTCGTGCTCAGGAGCTTGCGATTCGCGTAATCCTCTTCCCATCGTTGAAATTATAAAACTTTGTCGAATATGGACGAAATAATATATTCCAAAATCATTGATATTTATTATTATTTATAAAGGAAAACAAAAAAGAAAAAACACACGAGTTGGAACGTTTTCCTTTGCGTGTGTTCTATGTGATACACCATGCTTCATATTCCGTTGTGTATGCTGCGAAGCAAAAAAAAAAAATGAAAAGAAAAGAAAAAGAAAGAAAAACTACACGACAACACATCCCATATCGCGTAACAATTAGAAGAGATGGTATAATAAATAAAAGAAAAGAAAAGAAAAAAAAAGATACAAAAAAAAAATAAGAAAAATAAAAAGAATTGATTTCACATCAGTTGGCTATTCTCCGCGAGATATGCGAATCTAACGACATATAACAAAACAATACATAATATAGATCATTCGGACTTGTGACGATCGTTGAAATAGTTTTTGTAGTAGTGATGTAACTTCTTATCGGATATAACTCTCCTGGCCTTTTGCTAATCATTATGATGATAGTATGTAGGAATACACACTCATATAGAATTTGTACAGGGATACAAAAAATATATATATATATTATACATATATATATATATATATATAACAAAAAGAAAGAAATTGCGCGTGCGTAAAACTAACGTTGAAAATGACTCTTGTCGTGCTTTCAAAAAAGAAAAGAAAAGAACAAAAAAATAAAAAATGAAGGAAATTGGGCATCGTACTCTGCAGCTCGAATCATCGTTCAAATTAATCCGGAATCATTTGAATGAATCGATCGATACAAAAACAAAACAAAAAGAAATTGTATCTATATATACATACATATATATGCACACATATATATATATATATATATATGTATATATATTTTAATGAGAGGAATGCAAAGAGAGAAAAGAAAAAGGAGAAAGGCGGGCGAAGGCAAAGAGAAAGAAAGTTTTCTTCCATTAATAATGACTGCTGTTTGGACATAATTCAAAGAACGCAAAAGAGCTTGCTTCTTTTAAATGAAGCAAAATATTATTATGTATAAAACGGAGTTTTTCAGAGTGTACGTTGTAAACTATTGTATTATGGTTTTGCTCTCGTTTACTAAAGGGCTAGATCGGAAGTTTGTAAAAGGTTTTGAAACAAGGTCCAAGAAAAGAGTTGTAAAGAAGAAAAGAAAAGAAAAGAAAAGAAAAGAAAAGAAAAGAAAAGAAAAGAAAAAAAAAGAGAACAAAAAAGAAGAAAGGCGAGAAGGAAGATCGAACGAATGCCATTTTTATAGGTGTTTTAAGTATATTGTAGAAAATAGTTCATAAGAGACAAATTCACTTTCAGTAATAAAAAAAAAAAAAAAAAAAAAAAAAAAAAAAAAGGGAAAAAGAAAAAAAAATAAATAAATAAAAAAAATAACAAAAAAAAGAGAAAAACTTTAAAAAAATTTGTACCTGCGTCGTAAGTGAATAATAATGATATACATAATGATTTAAAAGGAAAAAAAAAATAATAAAACAAAAAATACAAACGAACAAGCAAACAAACAAAACAAACGAGAGGAGACGAGTAAAAGATAAAAGAGGAAAAAGATAGAAAAGAGAGAAAAAGAAAAAGAGAGAGAGAGAGAGAGAGAGAGAGAGAGAGAGAGAGAGAGAGAGAGAGAGAGAGAAACAACTCGCTAGCTGGAAGATATTTTCTAGCGATTAGATTCCACCTGTTAGTTACTGTTACGTATTTTTGTAGAGTTTTATCGACCAAATGGCGGCGAATGATGTTCACCCACCTAACGGCAGTGGCGATCGATTAGAATTAGACGATAGAAAAACTGTTTTCGCATATATTTCTTTTTCTTTCTTTTTAATTTTATTTTGTTTTATTTTTAAATCGTATTGTATGTATCTTTGTGCTTTGTTAAAACGGGAAAAGGAGAAAAGGAAAAAGAGAAATAATATAAAAGAATAAATATAAAAGAAAAGAAATTAGTTACGAGTATAAAAAAAAAAAAATCTCGTGGAGGATAAATGAATGTTATATGCGTGCTAATTTGTTAAAGTGATAAAAATGTTTTTAAACGAAATATCACTCGCGCGCGCGCGTGCGCGCGTATGTTTGTGTGTGTGTGTGAGAGAGAGAGAGAGAGAGAATGCACGCCAAACTTTTGTTGTTATTGTTGATTGTTTTTCCTCGTTTCTACATTGTTTCGCTACAATCCAAAATATTCGTTGATTTCTTATATCTAGCTATCTTTCTTTTTAAATGTATTAATTTGTTATTTTTTTTCGAATGATCATTCGGGAAAATGTCAACGATCATCTTGCACGCGTACATATATATACATTTTTTTTTTTTCTTTGTATGTACGGGTGTGTGATCGCCATACTGTCAATGGTGGACGAATTTTTACTCAGGGCAGCTGATGACAAAAAAGCTGCACACGTTATTATGCATTGATGTTAATGATCTAAGCTCTTCACGGATTTGGATTAAGCAAGAGAGAAAGAGAGAGAGCGAGAGAGAGAGAGAGACGTAAAAATGAATACAACAAAAAAAAATAATTAAAAAGAAAAAAAAAGAAAATATAAAAAAAAAGAGGTGATGATCTAACATCCTGTGTATTACGTAGGTCTGTTATAAGCCTACGAAAAGATTTGCCTTCAGGGTTGATGAAGTTATTCTCAATCGTTAACGATGTTGAGCTGCACTACATACATATACTTACATAATTCATATACACACACATATATACACACATAAGAGAATATTGTGTACAATTGTACATTAAATTTTCTTCTTCCTTCCGGCAGCGATGCAACCCTGAAGTATTATTTAAAATACAAACGATTATATATATAAACAAAAAAGAAAAAAAAAAAAAAAAAAATAAAAAAGAAAAAAAGCAACAAAAAAAAAATAAATAAAAAAAGAAATAAAAAAAATACGCGTACACGTACGAAATAGAAAAAAGAGATGAATTTATTGTTTTCTTCTTTTTTTTTCTCTTCACAACCAGCCATACAATATCCGTCATTATTTTCTTTTTCTTTTTATTTTTATTCATAAATCATATAATGATCGGATAGAGAAATAGAGAGAGAGAGAAAGAGAGAGAGAGAGAGAGAGAGAAAGTATGGTACGACGTCGTTCTCTTTGTCTTTAAACGTAATAACGACGCTTTAATTTTGACTTTATTATTTATGTTCACGAATCGTGTAGTGGCTTTTATTAATACGAAAGGAAAAAGAAAAAGAAATAAATGAACAACTAAAAAAGAGATATATCGTACGTACGTGTATCTTACGACGTAGAGACGAGAAAAGCAATATACAAATAATTAAATGGAACTCTTGCGAAAGAAAAAAAAATATATATAAATAAATAAAGAAAGAAAAGAGATCCTGATCTATCACGGATATTAATTAAAATGAAAAAGGAAATATTATGTATAAAAAAAAAAATATATATATATATATAAAAAGAAAAGAGACAAGTAGAAAAAGAAAAGTCCAATTGGTTTCTCTTCTCGTAAGACCAAAGATTTTAGAGAGACCAGTTCTTTGCGTCATTATTTAATAAGAACAACGACTCAATAAAAAATGTTTATCGATTTTCGTTGTTTTATGATTTTCGTTGGTTTGATTGTTATAAAAAAGAAAAAAAAATTTCATATATAAAAATCAATAAAAATCGATAAACGTTTTTCTCGAGTGGTACTAAAATCGATCGATGGAGTTTCCTTCGCTGGTTTCCATAATGCTTTTATATATATATATCAAACTATTTTTCCTTCCAACAATCATCGTACTTATTGGCAAACATTCGTCCTTTTTTGTCTCTTTCTGTTTCTTTCTCTCTCTCTCTCTTTCTTTCTTTGTCTTTTTTCCCCTCATCCTATTATTTTCTCTTGCGAATTAGCTTCGCGCGATTGAACTATGATGTGTACAAAACTATCGATTGTATAATATTCTAATAATGAATGCAAGAGAGAGAGAGAGAGAGAGAGAGAGAGAGCGAAGGAAACCCCTAAAAAATTTGCACGCTCGCGAGTTAAATACACGATGAATTGACGTTTGAACGATTTAAAAACAAAAAAAAAAACAAAAAAAAAAATAAACAAAAAAGAAAAAAAA